GTAATATTGGTGTGCAGTGATGTCTAAGACATACCCGAAAGACTGTGTATTTGCCTGGTATGACGAAGGAGATCACAGACTGTATTTTCAGATGTCCAAAGTGCAACGCGAGTCCACATGAGCAACAGAAACAACCGTTAATCAGCCAAGAAATTCCTCAACGACCATGGGAAAAGGTTGGTTGTTACCTTTTGAGCATGAAGGAAGTGATTTTTTAGTGATAACTTATTATTTCTCAAATTTCTTTGAGTTGGATCAGGTAAGCAATAAAACTAGCAACAAAGTCATTAATAAACATAAATTACATTTTTCAAGACATGGAATTCCAGAACAGTTTGCGACCAACAACGGTACACCAAGAGAATTAGAGTTTGAACAAATTACTAGCTAACCCAGATATCCGAGGTTACACAGAAAAGCTGAAAATGATGTGCGGACAGCAAAACATTTATCGAAAAAAGTGAAGAAGATTGAAAGAGATCCTTATTTATCCCTGTTGAAGTGGCGTAATACTTTTAGTGAAGGGATTGGGTATTCACCTGAGGTTGTTTTGTCAGCCAACTAGAACGCTAATTTAAACGTCCAAAAGTCTTCTAAAGCAGGAAAACCAAAAAAATCTTAGTTATTGCAGAAGCGTAAGCCATGGGTACAGGCAAAAGTTGAAGGGAAAGTTGACTTTCGTTCATATGAAGTTCGAACGGAAAAGTGTACAGACAAAATCGACAACACCTAAAACATTTTAAAGAACAACAAGAGTAAAATACAACGATGTCTGATTTCCAATCACCAGTGACAGAAACAGATATTAAAAAGGATAAAAAGGTCCAGCAATCAAGTAAAGACCCCGTTGTTTCCGTTCAACCATTATCTGTTCCTAGAAATATCTTTGAGAATACAGAGCATGTTCTCATTGATGATCAAGTTAGAACGAGAAGTGGAAGAGTTGTAAAGAAACCCTCTCGCTTTCAAGTGGGTGTGAAATAAAATAAAACAGCTATGAGCTATGAGCTAGATTACAGCAATAATCATGTTATTAAGTTTGAAAATTAGCTAATTAATTAAGGGTATAAATAAAGCCATTGAATTAGGAAGTCTTGTTCCATATAGTCTTATATTTTCATTTTCAGTTGGATACTTGAAATTGGCAATAAAAGAATATTTGCATAAAGAAAAAATATTGCAGTACATTTACTACTAGGATATCATGTTCTTTTGTCAGAGAAAGGGAGATGTAAGGATTATCATTTATAATTTGAAGTATTAAAATGCTACTTCCGGTTGTTGGATATAAATGCAGGCTAACACAGAACTACAGACACACAATAAATTTGATTTAACTTTGTGTGATCTGCTCTGTATTCTGTATAATAAGAAGAGACGTTACAGAAACCATATTTATGCCATGATTTATCTCAATTTAATATTATGCCAGTAGTTAGATGTTTGTAAATGATGATCGTCCAGGTTAATAAAGTCCTGAGAAGGACTGTTTGACTTCAGAGTCAAATGAGGAGTGACTCTGAAGAAGTGACTCCTCATTTGACTCTGAAGATGACTACCGCTAAGGTTGTGGGAAACGTCAGTCAACAACAACAAAAACAGTCCTTCTCAGGACTTTATTAACCTGGACGATCATCATTTACAAACATATAACGATACTTCCGGGTTCAAACCATTTACTTTATTATGCCAGTAGTTTAACAAAAAGTTGGTGAGTAGTAGAACACAAGATTGATAGTATATCCGAGACGGCCAAACAGATGGCAATGTTCTAAACAATGCGTTTGAATCATCAGGCATAAAAAAGACCCATTAATCGTCATTTCTTGATAATCATTCTTTGACTCTGTGCAAGCTGACCCCATGACATATTTGTCCTGCAACTCATATAAGCACTTTACTCTACGAAACCAATGAATTTATATCAATTGTGGAAAAATAAATTTGAAATACTGTTTTTAAATCTACAAATTCAAAATACATAACTTATTCGTAAACTGGTCGTTTTATTTATGAAAAGGGCGTATGTAATCTTGAATGGCAGGTATTCTTAAATCACAAATGCAATAATTCAAGGCCCGTTTAAAACGTCCCATTTTGCATCTGCTGAATGTATGAAACACAATAGAAATGATGAGATAAAATACCTTATTTTGTTTTGCTTGAAACGGGCCTTAAAATGCAAAGCAATCAATTTTTAAGTTTGCTTCGTGGTCGTGTAGAGCTAGACTGGGTCCGTCCAACGTGAATCTTTTTGTAAGCAAATTAAGGATTAAAGTAGCTAGCAAAGTTTAAAAAACAAGTTTAGTTCAATATGTCGCATGTTACATGTTTCTCCTTCTTTTAAAAGTAAATTTTAGTATCTTCATTTAAACTCATCCATACCTGTCACTTAAATTTTCTTCTTCAAATGAAAGAAGGTCTTCGAATCAATGAAACAAATCTTGATTTAAATGCTTAAATGTACCACCAGCTATAACACAATCTTTTTATTATATTTAATGTGAACAATTTGATGAATGTAGGTATTTATTGTTCCCATTCATTCTAAATAATCAATTTTTTTTCATAACATTCTGTAATATATCATATTACGTAATACTAATCATTGTGCAATGTAGATAACATTTTATGTTGTCCAAACAAGTTTGCTTTCGAAACATCATCTTTATTATTGTGGTGGATGCCGACGCTCTCGTCATCGAATAGAGAATACGTTAAAGGGCAACTCGCGGGTGAAACCCTTCGCACTTTTTTGTGGGAATGCGTTAAGTCCGCCATTACTCTGGCCAGGAACTTGGTGCTGGCGTACTATTAACTTATACTGGAAAAGTGCAGTTTCGGAATATTAGTCGCCTCGTACGTAAAAGATTTTAGAAGATCATAAAATATTGTGATGAAACATGATAGAAACAAGATAAGAGATCATTATTTCATTGCCAACAAGTAAGTAAAGGTTTTTATTGGAAAAAATGAACCGTTTTAATGTAGCTCATTGAGTTGTACATAAGGTTATATTTATGAAAGTATGAAATAGAATCTCTTGCATTTTCCTCCATTCTAAATTATAATTATCGCGCAGTTTGAGGTGTATTTATGAAGGATAATTACAAAAATGACAGAGAAACTTACTCGTACGAACGCTGTAATATTTCATATTGCAAAATGGTACTGCAAAACTTACTATGTAAAATAATATTAACCTAGCAATTAAATAATCATTCATTATGCTTGTTTATGAATGATAACTAATGATAGTCTAATAGAACTTTAGTTTTTAGCAACAATCAATTCAAAGCAAGGGAGAGTTTGTTTTATCACTTAAGCATGAGTGAATAGTACAATATGTCAGGCATTTTCGATATCAAATATTATTTTTTGAGGTATACAATTTTTTTTGTATATAGTAATTATTATAACGTTGCTTCATAGCAATTTGTGCTCTGTAAAAGTTATGAAAAAAGTTCATTATAATTGATTTTTGATTTTTTTTCTAGTTGCTAGCCAAGTGATTGCTTGATTCTAAAGTGAAGATTGTGTTACGAGTGACTTGTACTGTGTATTATTTCATTCAAAGAACAACAGTGCTTGTATTTTTAACAATGAAGTTATTTAATTTTTAAATGAAATGTACAGACTGGTTTCATGTATTCTGTATTCTGTACATTCTACTGCATAATATACACACAATTTAAATTTAAACTGATTTATTAATAGTTCTAAAGACAGCAAATACCATGGTGAATGGTAAAAGTAATATAATAAGTTGATAGTTCTTAACAGAACTGTTTTAAGTAAAGAGCACTAAACCAATAGTTGTAAATTAATGCACCCTACGCTATAAGTTAAGTAAAAGGCCTTAGCCCTTATACTTTCTTTACATTGCGGCGTCAATGATAACAGCATTAGATTCAAAGTGCAAATATAGTAAAAAAGGCAGAAACTTTGTTTCGAAACAGACAGACGCTTATGCAACTCAGCGACATTTTCAAAACTGAAACAACACTCTGCTGAAGAGCATGAAATTATGCCTTGTATAATATATGCTAGCTTAATATGAAGCTGCTGCGATTTCTTATAACAATTCAGCAACAACTCTGTGCATATGTAGTAAACGTAGTTAGTGTTCCTGCGCTTCCTGTTCAGCAGGACTAAAAACTGTGTAAACAAAACTCATCAAAGACAATAATTCAAACTTCACCACAAACGAAAGTAAAGACCCTACCTTTGTTCAACATCTTCTAATGTTTTAGTATCTATTATGCCGCCAGATCTCTTCATGTCTCCAATTAAACCAGCGACAAACTGTATCACCAAGTGCCATTTAGGATCAAGTTTATTATAATCCAAAAACTGGGGAATTTTGCTCCATTCGTCTACAATACATTGCGCAGCCAGAAACTCTTGAATAGTCAAATGAAGGAAACAGTACTGTAAGCGTTTTGCATCCTGTATACGGTGAAATATACCACAATTTGCTACCTCATGAAAAGCACTATTACTTCTTTTTTCAAAAATTAAATTTCCTTCAGTAATTCCACTAACTGCAATATCTTTTATTTTGTCAATATCTTTTTTAAGCTCGGGTGGCAAAGGAATTATAAGATAATCATTTTCTCTTGGTATTTTACCTGATTTGCAAAGTGGATGATGCATCCACAGCAAGACTTTGATTGCTCTATTGTATAACTTAGTGATGGTCTTTGGAATATCTTCAGCCTTACATGTCAAGCTCTCTTTTAGGGTCAGACAAACAATGTAACTATTCACAGGAATATAACACAAACTTTTAAGTTCAAGAGAAGTATCAATGTGCTCATAAATGCTTTTAGCCGTATTCTTGTTTTTACCACAAAACTTGTCGACGTATTCTTTAATCTGATCTTCAAAAAAGCCCAAGATTTCTACAGTCCTGTCAAACTTTAAACATCCATAGGCATGTTCAGCTGTGGGTCGTGATGTTACTAGAACAGTGGCATCAGACAGCGTTTCACCTTCAACTAACTTTTTTATTAGTTTAAATACAGGGTTCTTTGTTTCATGGAGCTCTAAACGATTTAGAAATAATTCATCGAGACCGTCGATGATAATGACAGTTTGTTTTGGATAAGTGATTATGAATTTGTAAACTTGAGAATAATGTTTATCTTTTAGTCCATCACACCGCTTTAACATTTCTTCTAGAGTAGTGTCGCAAGTTTCAAGATCACGACATCTCACTAAAATAACAAGTTTATCTTGCCAATATTCATCTCGATTATTTTTCCATTCGTATATAAGTTTTTTAGTCAGCATAGTTTTACCAATTCCCGGCCTTCCAATGACTAAAATAGAGCTTGGACACGACGTGCTCTGCTCACCTGGGATTGGCGTAAAAATCTCATCTACTCTTGTTAGTTTTTTTACATCATTTCTCACCTTTAGGTAAGAATGAAAGATTTCGTGCCGATTAAACGTTTCTGGGAAAGCATTCTTTAATTGTCTCTCTGCTTGTAGTATGACGTTGACATAAATATTATCAAGATTTTGCCTTTCTTTGTTCTCATCACCAAAGTTGTCGTGTATTTCAAAAAATTTGTTCGTGTAAAGATCATTTATATTTTCCTCCAACCATTCTTTAGGTTTTTGAAGCAGTACAAAATTCAAGTAAACTGTACAAAATTTATTCTCTTTTTTAAAAGAGTTATCAGTCCAAGCCTTATACGTCAAGTAACACAGCTCCAAAATTGTTAGTGTTATTACAATAAAATCGACAGATAAAACAGCTTTAATTAAGGTTTCCTTTTTATCACCGTTGGGATTTTCACAATCAATGGTAGAAATGGTGTGATTTAATGAGGAAATTTCTTTCAAAGTTGGACGTCTTTTACAGGTGTAGTAGATGGGAAAATTAGCAGAGAAAAGTAATACAACGAAGACAGACAATGTGACGAGGCGAACCACTAAATAAACGATGTGTATGGAAAATGAAGAAAAATTAAATGCAACGTTGTCGGATTGAGGAGTTCCTTCACTATAATCCACATGTAGAGGTTGACTTTGTTCGTTCCTGTTTTCTATTGGACTGTCATTTTCATTTGGTTCAATTCGACGCTTTACATAATATCCATAGACAATACTCCAAATTAAGACAATGGCAAAATTTAAAACTACCATAAGAAAAGCAGCATCCTTAAAAGTTAAACCATCTTTGTAGTGTCTGAAACATGTTGATTCAATGCTCTTTAATAGAGAACTTTCTTTCGTCTTTGATATAATCTCATTATGACAATTAAATGAGCTATTAAAAAATAAAACTGATGAAACAGTAGTAACAGGGATAAAAACTACACCAAAGACAATCAATATTATTCTTCCAAACCAGTTATAACTTCTCCATGATATGTATTCAAGAAAATTTGCCATTTGTATGCTTAAAAAATGTATTAAATCATCACATTACTTTGAATTCAAAACAAGACGCTAACATTGGAGTTCAGTATCGTAGCTAGCTTGCAGATTTACTCCCGCTATGAAAATTCTGAAAGATTACCATTATTCATTTCTTTAGAATTCTACTGTTCTCACAGTCAGTGAACACTAAAAAATTTGCGTAGAGGAAGTAAAAAGTTGGGCTGGCTACGCTACTGCTTTGCTTACCTACAGCTCTAGGTACAAAGTCGCATGCAAAACTCCAGGATTGTTAATACCTCATGCAATAATCCATTTCATGTTTAAACGACTTACTTGCATTATGATATAAAAGAATTTTAGTAGACACATCTGATAGTCAAAGCAATAAGTGTTGTTTTGTAATTAAATAAAGTGTACAATTATGTTCTTTCGCTGTTGCGTATAACCAGCTAGAGCACTGTAGGGGAAAGTATATTCATGTACGTGTGCTCTACAATAATAAATTCTTTTACAAAGATGGCTACGAGTTTGCATTGGCACCATAATCAATCTTACGTAACTGTTCCTCAGGCTACGGGTATTGGATTAAATATGAAACAATTTGCTATTTGTTTATGTAATAGCATGGTTCTGAGTGCAATAAGCTATTTGCAGCTAGAGGTCACGTGCTTAGGTAACGCCATACTGGAGAGCACGCTTTCCATTAAACAATGGCGAGTACAAGGCAATTTAATATGTAGAGTAAATTTTCTTTGTTTTTGTGGCGATTTCGGCTAGACAACACTAACATGGCGTCGAATAAAGGTATGTGACAAGCAAAATTTTTCATTAATTCTTTTTCTTGACTTTTTTTAATCGAAAAATGAGTCACAAGTAGGAGATTTGGCTTTCGGGAAGGTATTAATGATTAATCTAATGTATTTTCATGTTTTTATGCATGCTTCTCCAGATGATTCGTGTACCGAAAGTAAAGACATAAGTTCTCTTCCTAACTTGACTTTTGCATTTGTCGAGAAGTATGCAAAAGAGTTGTCAGGATGTCAGAGTACCGCAAAGGCCTACAAGTTTTTTGCTGAACCTGGATATTTACATGAAATGAAAGGTAAATTGCCAATCATTGTTCGCGTTTTCTTTAGTTACTAAGCTTACTTTCAGAGTGTGATTAATTTGATCTCATAAAATTTTAATATTCTTTTGTCAGTTACAACCAAGGATGATTTAGCTGTCATAAATGCTCGATGCTATCGATCAATGAAGAAAAATGAGCCTCCACATGTACTTGAAACCAAGATCAACATTGTTAACAGTTCAATTTCTGCAAGGTGTTCATGTGTAGCTGGTGTTGGGGGATACTGCCATCATGTCGTTGGATTGCTGTTCTTTCTAGCCCATTGCAAACAGCTAGGTCTTCGCTCATTGCCCGATTCATTGACATGCACTAGTATGCCTCAAAGATGGAGTGTACCCAGAGGAAAAAAGATAGAACAGAAGAAGATTCAAGATGTGCTTGTCAAAAAACCAAGAGCAGGGGCTAATTTCACCAAATTTATTAAAAGCACACTATATTCACCTTCAAATGTTTATTTACCAATGACAAAAGAAAATTTTGATGATTTTGAAAGCAAACCATTAATAGCAAGTATACTTCCAAGTGAAAAGAACCTTGCAAGTATCCCACATGTGCAAAGTAAATTTGGAGAAGTTCCTAAAGGATGTGTTCTTTCTTACCAGCAAAAGCTCTCTCAAGACTATGTTATCAATGATTTCAGTTGTACCAACTTTCCAACACTACCATTGGCTTCAGCGGAAATGAGATTTAAGAATAATTGTTCCAGTTGTCTCACAAAGCAACAACAAGCTTCTTTAGATGCTATAATGATTACTCAAGAAGAGTCACTTGATATCCAAGAGAAAACAATCACTCAAAGTGCAAACAGTTTGTGGCATATGTTAAGAAGTAAAAGAATCACAGCAAGTAAGTTTGGGATTGTTGCAAGACGGTCGAGGGATTTTGAAAATCTTGTAAAACAGCTCAATCCATCTCGTCATGTCATAACTGCAGCTATGAAAAGAGGCATTGATTTAGAATCTACAGCTGCAATGGCCTATGCTAATGTTGCTAAGAATGGGTCTGTGAATCTATTTCCTTCTGGATTAATTATTCATCCCAGATGTCCTTGGTTGGGCTGCAGTCCAGACCGATTGGTATATGACCTACAAGCAGCTGAGAGTTGTTGCAACCCTTTTGGATTGTTGGAAATCAAAGTTGTCAAGGAAGGTGAAAATGACTTTGCTAATGTTAGATATCTTTCAAAAAATGTGGCTACAAATGACTTTATTTTGAAGAACACTGATATTTACTTTTACCAAGTACAGTGTCAGTTAGCTTTGACAGGTCTTGAGTGGTGTGACTTTTTTAGCTACATAAGTGACACACATTTTGTTTGCAATAGGATTAAATTTAACAAAGACTTTTTCAAGAGGCAAAAATAAGGTTGATGGTTTTATTTTCAATATTTTTAAAGTGATTGTCGTAAACTTGTGATAATTTTCTACAATTTTGTGAAAATCTCTTTTATTCTCATAGTCATAGTCTGTTACATATTTTTAGCTACATTTAATTCTTTTTGACAAGACAACTGTAATCCAATATTTACAATTGTTAATTCTTACTAGGATCAGAAATTAGTCGGCCTTGGAAATTGGTAAGCAAACATGCAACTGTGTATATTTGATTAATTGACCCCAATAAATTAAGTGGTATATCAGAATAAAAAATATGATACTCTTTTATGCTTCGGATAGCCCTTTCCACATGTATGCGGACACTTGCAATTTCTTTGGTTTTTTGAACATCATTTTGAGTAAACTGAACATTACTCTCTAAGAAGGGGAGAATATTAAGTAATGCTTTATTTTCTAATAACAGATATTCTATATCAAAACTTTTGTCTGCCATTATTGAATCTCCCTCCTCAATTAAATCTAAGATGCCACAACACCTAGCTATTTCTTTATCTGAGATTGCTCCAGTATATAACCCAGATACAAAAGAGACTACCCCATGAGGAGAGATCTCAACCAAACCTTTAAGGTTAGTGTTGCTTTTATAGCTTGAGTATAATTGGGACTGTAATAATGAGCTGGGAGTTTGTACGAAAATTTCTGTGCAATCTATTATAACTCTAGTACTTGGGTAAAGCCTACGAAAACACTGGGGCATGTAATTATTGACATTTTCCCTAGAAGGCCAGATTACTTGAGATCCCAACATGAAATATAAGTAATTGCTCCATGTAACTATTTTTTGGCTAACAGTGGATATATGTATTTTAAATCTGTGAGCAAGGTCTTGCTCAAATAAGCCCAATCTAATACGAACCAGGAACATAAACACCTCTTCTATAACTAGCATGGTTCGTGCTTTTGGACGACTTTCTCTATCTCCTGTAGCATAAAAATAGGTCATTCTCTCAGCAGTTGGTTTTATGATTTCATAAAAAGCCTTAATGTGTTCATAAGAAACAAATCCTGTGTAGAATCTGACTAAGTCATTGTTAGTTGAAAATCTTTCTAAACCAAATTTGGATAGTGCTAACTCCTCGGCGGCAGCCTTCTTGGTATTTTCAATTTCTTTATGTGCTTGGGCCTTGAATGCATTCATTTCTTCCGTAACAGAAGCTGTTTCTTCCTTACTTTTTTAATTCTTGGGTTTCAGAATTACCTCCAATCTTAATCCTTCCAACTCTTCTTGCATTTTTAGCAAAGGATCGACTGTGCACACTTCACTGCCAGTTTCTTCAATTGCAGTTTCTTCAGTTTGTGTCTCTCTAAAGCAAATAACATTTTAATCATTAAGAAACAAGGTACAGGTGAAGGCGATAATATAAACTTATTATTGACAATTCCGCATACCCAGTACAAGTGCGAATTAGTTTTCTTCTTTTGGAGTCATTGAAGACCAGTCAAATTGGCTGGGAACAGACCCTTTTTTTAATAAACACCGTCCTGCATTATCAGGAGGTAGGTAATCGTCCTCTAAAAAGTGTCTCGAGCAAACCCTTGTGCTGCTTGATATCTTATAAAGTTAAAACAAAACATAGCATTAGTGCGTATTTATTTACAAATGATGCACTATCTAAGATTCACTGAAGAAATATGCAAGAGCTTTTTATAATAATACAAAGCTACCTTGAAATCAGGCCCTTCGTCTCTTCGTATTTTGACCAGCCAAAGTTTACGGGTTTCTTTGCCGTCATTGGCACTTGGAATGCGATGGAACTTCAGGTCTTGGTGATATCTGGAATCTCCATTACATAGAGGCACACAACAGTGGTAACTTGATCTTTTTGGCTTTAAAGTCGCTGAGCACTGAAGTTTATTTTGAACACTTGCGGAATCTTCGAGAATGAGTGAAAATTTACTCCTTTTCAGTTAAAAGTCAAGAAAAAGAATTGATGAAAAATTTTGCTTGTCACATACCTTGATTCGACGCCATGTTGTCTAGCCCTGTTGTCTAGCCGAAATCGCCACAAAAACAAAGAAAATTTACTCTACATATTAAATTGCCTTGTACTCGCCATTGTTTTATGGAAAGCATTCTCTCCAGTATGGCGTTACCTAAGCACGTGACCTCTAGCTGCAAAAGGCCTATTTGGCATTAACATGAACGAGGGAAATTTTCAATGACTGACAAGCTCTTAGTCAATCAGAATTTAGAATTTTTTTATGTATATTATTACTGGAGAAAAAGGCATTAGCATTTTGCTCTTACTTTATACATCCCATATGATTCTACTTACATTTTAAACAAATGAATGAACAAGCTCCAATTAACATCTCTCAAAATAATAAAGCTCATTTAGTAAATGGTTTTCTGTAATATTTTAAACCAGACTTAAATCACATCAATTATGTTAATTATATGAAAAGGGTAGGAAAATGGACGGTATTTTGTTTAACTCGGATATTTATTGAACAGGTCGTGAATGAATTTTTGAAAACAGGTCACATAACGCAAAACAATAATAAATAAAAAACTAATGATACAAACCGAACCTTGAATGTTCTCTTACCTTAGTCGTAGATCATTTACTCTATACTTATACGCTTTCTTTGTACTAATTAAGCCGGTTTTCCACTTGCAAATTTTTGCGCCAAAAGCGATAATTTTTGAATTAAAAAAGTTCATGCGACTGGGTATATTTGTTTTCAACGTGTAAAAATTAACTCACAAAATGAAAAGAAAACAATGGAACATGGCTGAATCAAACAGTAACTGGATTACTACCTCGGAATAACGTGTTATGATTCTCATTGCTACAAAGACGACCATAACGACAAAGCAAAAACAACAATGGCTTTTTATACATCGCTGTATGTTGTAACGGCAATGAAAAGGAAAATTTCATCTGCTCGTGAGAGAGCTTAGCAATCACCGCATATAATACGCTTCCATGAAAATCGTTTGTTTCGTATTTCGTCCATGAAAATGTTTTCTAAACTTGGTTCTCTGCAAAGTATCTTTGTACGATAAAAGGGAAGTTCAATCAATTCCCAAGCAAAAAACTCCTTAACGTCCATCATTTTAAATACTGAGTACGGCAGACAAACGTTCAAGCAAAAAGGAAAGACGACTAAAAAATCTGATGGGCTAGCGAACTATTTTGGCTGCAAAAATTAAAAATCATAGGAACTCGAGGCGTGATGACTGCTTTGCCGCTTACGTTGCGTTTAGCAGTTTAGGTTTTAAGGGCAGGAAGCCCTTTTTGTTGTAGGTAAAGTAACGCAAGCTTTTTAGTATCTCTACTAAAACAAAATGACTTTTGTGAAGCATAGTAATTATTTTAATTTAGTACAAAACATATATATTCCTATTAAGCTATCAACAGAGTTTTAATAAAACATGAAATACACCTCTTGACAATGCAAATCTTAATTAACAAATGCAAAACTACGTATTAAATTCGACTTTTTCGAAACAACAAAACTCAATGGCAAATAAATAATTTAGGATTGCCGCTTGTCGTAAACGCTAAACTAAAACTCTATTTGCGCAATACAAAAAACAATAAAAAAAATACAAATATCATTTGAATATAATGAATAATTTGACACGAGTTACAACAAATCGAAGTTTAAGGATAATTGACATAAGAGCAAGTCTTAAGGCCTAAAAGCAGAGGCGGATCTAGGGTATGTCAAATCCGTCGCGCGACTGATGTTTGAAAATCAAAAATTACTATTCATATTAATTAAAAATCATTAATTATTCTTACTTTACTATCGCATTTATTTCGTGATAAAAATCCAGCTTTATTTATTATTGAAAACTAATGACTAATCCAATGAATATCTCATTGGTAACCAGATCAGTTGAATTTTATTGACCTGGAATAACCGACTGATAGACGGGGTGGCTTGACTGGTTCGACGGATAAAGGAGTCTATGAACGCCAAAAACGCTTTTTCATTGGTCAATGGCCTGATCAGTGGACAGTCTAGAATGGTCTCGACTGATAAAAGGATTTCGACGGATTTCGACTGATAGCCAACTGAACTAACATAGTCAAGCTCACTGTCTGAATTAAATGTTTGATCGTTTCATAGTAATTTTTATAAGCATGATTGAAACTAAACTACAATCAGATGGAATTTATCGAAATCTCTTTACAAATTCATATATTGACATGAATGCTGCTGTGGAAACTGTGAATTTTTTCACGAGGGTGAAAAATTTATGGATAAATTGTAAATGCTTGGCAAAGACGATCTCGCGAGCGACATTTCAGTCATTGATGTTCAAAAAAAAGCCAACATTGTTTTGAGTTTTATCAGCAGAAATTTACATCCAAAATCGTAAGTAAAGGACAAGTGAAGTGTATGCATGAATATGATATATCAAAGTCAATTTAATGCGAGTGTGTGATGCGATTTATGTTAATATGGCGTATGGTAAGCAGATTGATGCTTCTAAAATTGTTGTTGCCGTAGGAGTTTTAGCTATGATTTCTTTAGTGCTTGGGAATCGTGGCCGTTATATGGCAGCGAAATCCTACATTCCTGCAAATATATTTCAATGGACAAAAAATCTGTAGCCATAAGGCGCCACACTATTATTTACTTTATCATAAACAAATGTTTGGGGCTTTTCAGTTTATGATCATTGATCATTCAATCATTGGACAGTAATACTACATATTGTTTAAGATTTGAGAAAATTAACATTGATTACACGAGAAGCTGTTTATTATAACCTGTGATTTTGAGTCTTCTAATCCATGAAGCTTTTTATTTTGACAATTTGACTGGAATTATATTAAACCTTAGTATTTCACATACATGAAATGTTGTCCCATGTCACATATTGCCCCCTTTTCTAACTGAACATCTTATGTAGAGATGTAAAGGTGTGTTAATCTACGGCTCATACCAGATTGTTAGCCATAAATTCCAAAGGGCTATTGATGTACGAAAAGCATTTCTATAAAGTAAAAATGTCTTTCTATGTATGCAGATAAACCTTAAAATTTGGCAAAACACAAAGTATTTTTCATGATCACTAAGTAATTCTTCTGATGATCATTATAATTTCTAAACTAAATTATTTCAGATTTACATTTAAACGTGGTTTGATCATATGAAAAGATATTTATCATAACCAGTAAGCATGAAACATGAACCAATTTTAACATTCAGGTAAATATATAATTAAAGACATGTTGCTTACATTCTGTTTGTATTTGCAAATACAATGCTACTAGTGATTGCTATATAGCATATCTTGCATATACTTACAGAAGATAATAGTCTAGTGAAATGCCTAATAAACATTAATGACATTAAGCTGTCCTTGACTGCAAATTTTCACTATAATAATTTTTGCTTAATCTTTTGCAGAAAAAAATTTTGAGTTTGTTCTCAAATGGTGAATTTGCTGGCACTGATGTGGAGATGGGTAAAGGGTTACAATAAACTTGCAAGGTTTGAGGTCTGAGCTTTTTATATATCTATGAACTGTCACTTGTAGTACCAAATTTTTATTTTAACTCATTACATAGAGGTTTGAATGGGGGTCTCTAGGGGGGTCTATGCTTGAAAACTTGTTAAAAAATTTTAAAGACTATATCTGTTTTGGAATAGCATTATTGTAAAATACATTTTACGTTCCTAGACATGCTAATGAGCCATATATTTGTCATTCTAATGAGCCTAAATATTTGGCAAAACATTCAAGTATTGTTCACTTCAATTTATTTTTTTGAAAAAAACGTAAGCAAAATGTGTTGTTTTTACGCAAAAACGATGTCCACAAAATACATTTTGTATTGCTCTAAAACGCTGAAAATGGCATTTTAAGGCTCTGAAATTCAAAATTTCTCAAGGGAGGATGCCTCAGACCCCCCATGTGCGGAGCGCCTTCGACGATTTATGACTAATGTTCGAAAAATGCTAGATCCGCCCCTGCCTGAAAGAATGAGACGCCAAACTATACAAGATGATGGAGAACATTTAGTCAGAGATAGAGAGATGAAACTCCAAATGAGAGTTTTAACTCCGTAAAAAAAATGAGATAGCTTTTTTAATTAGAACTCAGGGAGTTGTTCAATTTTGCGTATGTTATATTTTTTGTTGTAATAAACATCCACACGAATTTTTAAAATTTTTTTGAAAGAAAAACGAGAAATTCTTCAATAAACTCAGCGCCGACAGGCGTTTATGTAAAAAAAATCCACTCGACATGAGCACAATATGCGCATCCAAATTGTCAATAGTTCCCTACTTCTTAACTGTATGTAGCCTCCTCAAAACATTTGGCAGCAAATTTTGTCAAGAGAACAAATGGAAACGAAAGATAATTGCAACATTACTAAAATTAGTATAATTCTTGTAATAAGCGATACTTATGTATAGCAAATATAAACCGATTACATAGTAGTTTTAGCTTGCTTTGTTTAAATACTCTAGAAAACCCTATAAAATTGAATGGACGCAAAACTGTCTGAAAACCACTTTTTACTGACATAATTTAATAAAGCAAACACGCTAAAGAAGCAAATGCAAACAAAAAAGCATTTCGCCGAGTTCCACATAAGAACAAACCGAAACAAAATACAATTGCAACATTAATAAAATAAGCAAATTTTCACAGTCAGAAACCATACATTTAACGAGCAGTACAAGTTTACAGCAATAATAAGCAGAATTGCTGAAAGTATTTCCATACTTCAAAAATGACGCAAATATATATCCTATTTAGACTATAGTCTAATGATTTCTAACAAACAATTTAACATCCTTAACATACCAACATATCATCACAAACATACCTTGTTTTGTTTTTTGCTTAGCAAATCGTTTTTGCTGTTTGTATTATTAACTTCTTTGAATAGATATTCAACAATACGGTCATGCGTTTCCACAGATAATCTAAAATAAATATGATTTTGTGGTATATTCACGATCAAAATTTATTCAAACTTATTAAATGGCTTAATATGTGGCAAACAATTGCATTATGATGACAATTATACATCGCAAACACGCATAACGATTCTGTGAATTTTGTATGACAAACCTTTTACTGGTTCACAGTTCAATCTTTCGTATTTTCCGATATAACGCAAGAGCAAGTTATCAGCGTCACACATATCCTTTACGTTGATATGTGGCCAGGGGCAAATTATTTTGTGTCGCGGAATTTAAGTCATTTAAAGAATAGATTGTAATGCAAAGCAAAGATACGGTTTATGATTTTTTTGTTTTATTATAATTTATAGGTTTGATTTTAATTTAGAGATTTAGAGTATGTTGATTGATAAGTAAAAAAATGTAAAATGTAATGCATTATCATAAAGTATATGCTTACTATAGGATTATTTTACATTCTCTGCAGTGTGTATATACATACTTATAGGCATTTATGTAGTCGATTGGAAAACAAGAGGATTTGATTCAACATTTGCATACCAGCATGAGACAAACACTACTTTAAATATGCTCTTTTCATTCGTTGTTGAGGAATTAGAGTTTGAGCATATTTATTTTTCATTCTCTGTGCCATAAATTTTGTAAACTGATCAAAACCACTATGTAAATACTTTAAAATCGAAAAGAGAAGTCATATCTTTTTTATGCAGTCGATTGCAAAGTCAGAGTATCTTGATCTTATATAAGCATATCAGCATGAGGCAAGTAATATTTGCTAAAAGCTAGAATAAAAAGAAATGAATAAAAGTCTTTTTATTTAGTGTTAGTGACAAGATGACAATTAAGAGTGAAGCACATCTATTTTTCCATTATTTTGATTATACTAACGACAAATCCAAATCATTATACAGGGTGTTAGAAAAAAAGGAATCCGTTTAAATAATTATTTACGCATTAAATGAAATCGACATGAGATAACTTAGTCTGAAATGGAGATTTGCTCTGCCTGTTTTATTTAGTTGCACGTTTTTCGATGTTTAAAGCAACTAATTGAAAATATGATTACGTTTTCGTGGCTTTATATTCTAATATATCTCGCTTTTTTATGTTAGAAAGATGTCATATTGCTCGCGCAACTTATAAGGGTCACATATATCGTTTGCGTCGATACGTGGCAAATTATTTCGTCCCACGGAATTTAAATCATCTTAAGAATATATTCACTAATTGTTATGAAAACAGGGAAACGCTTATAATTTTGGTTTTTCTATAGCATTTATTGTATTATTACATTATGACATTATGCGGGCAGGAAGCTTACTATATACAACTCTTAGCTTTTTATGGGAATAATTAAATGTGTGATATTTTCTGTCGGGGATGTGTATACTCATACAGGCGTATGAAATACGATAATTGGGGGGTGGGAAGGGATAAAGCATATATTCACATATGCATGCTATAATCTGTAGAAAAACAATGAATTTAAAATACGGCATAATGTGCTTGTATTCTCCACAATTATCGATCTTTCTACGTCCATGCATCATGGGGTGATGTTTTTACATTGATTCAAGATCTTTTAAATAAACATTACGAAGCGTTTTCCTTCCACTTCACCTTACGGCTGACCTATGTGTTACGTTTCTACAGGCAACTCAATCCTACGAAATATGCAATTCAAAAACAAAATCCAATTGTATCACACGAGAGAAATAAAGTTTTGAAAAAGACATCGCCCCCCGTCAAGGGGCATGCAATTGAATTCGCGAAGCTCGCACGTTATCTACATGTTATTTTTAGAGTTGTGTTTTGAATTAGGGTCCTAGATGTTGCTATTGGAGGTTTTCCCTTACGGATAAAGCTTATGTTTTCATTTTTTCGATTGGTACTAAAATACAGTGTATTTCGTTACGATACTGCAATCAAAATACTTATGAAATCAATGAAACGGAACTTATCGAGCAAAAAAAACAACGACACTTTGCAATGGCGCCGATATTAACAGAATGTCCGTGTACGAGATATCTAAGATAAAAGACTCTGCATAGCATCCAAACTTAACAATACTGTGGTTAAAATCTTATTTTTGTCATTAGTGATCAAGAAAATGTACAAGGTTTGCCGTACAATACTTTCAACATTCAGCAATAAAAAAGCACACAAGACGGCAAAATATGACTAAGTGAGTTAAGAAGTTAGATATGCGAAATATATTCTATCGTATGCCAGCAAAAACAATGTCAAATGCTTGAAATAACGAATAATTAGAGTGAGTTGAGTGTGGTTTTTCATCATATATGATTTTTTCTTTGAAAATATGAAAATTCAATCTCTGACAAGAATATTTGTTAATTTATTCAAAATTGGCATTTGACCAAAGCTGGTATATGGTAATTTTTTCAGTAAATAGTAAACTTATGTGAATTTTTCCTTCATGACCTCCCCTAAAAGTGAACCTTCTTAACACCTTAAACATTACAGAATTGTCATTGCTAATTTTTTCTAGAAGTTAGAACAATGTCGACACTACCATTTTAGGGGTCTCAATTTCAGGACTTTCGTACCGGATTGAGCAAATGGCACTTATGCCGAGTTCTTTGTCATGTTCATTTTACCCAAATACAGTTGAGATTACTTCCGGTAAATGAAATGCATACAAATTCTAATACAGGTCCTACACATATTGATTATTCAAAAACATCATAAAAAAAAGCGAGAAAATGATCATTAAAGAAGTTTGAGGCAAAGTACAGGGAGCTGCAGAATCTTGTGTGGTTCGCGAATTCTACATTTTAAGTGTCTATCGGAAATTTGCAATAATTTATAAGTTTTCGGTGTGAAATTTGGTCTTTTTTGTGGCGAACTCATTACTGTTACGTATTTGTATGACATCCATGGGCCTAGGAAGAAATAAACAGATTTGCAACTATACTAATATTAGCAAAATTCTAAATAAATAATCAGAAACTGTAAATGTAATGAGCAATATTAAATTATAGCAAAGATTAACCAGTATCAACAGTTCTTCTTGTAAAACAGTTTAAATATTTAATTACTCAATGATGTCATGACATCAGTTTATTTTTAACATTTTTAATTTGAATTTGCCTGTCAGGTATAAATATATAAATTGCATTTGATAATAACACAAAATCAATGACGTAGCACATATTTCACAAATATACAATGTGGATGAAACGATTATTAATTTTTAACATACAATTTATAAAAGTGTTATAAAATTTGCAAATGGTATGGTGGCCAAATTAACAAAATAATTGCATAATAGTACTTAGTAACTAATAATGATCATATTTATACATCGTACATAAGCACCTTAAAAACGCCCAATGATTCTGTGTATTTTGTCTTACAAACCTTTCACTGATTGATGGTTAAAACTTTCAGTTATTCATGTTTATACTGTTGAGCGTGATATGTATCCTTTGAGTCGATACGTGGCAAATTATTTTGTGCCACGGAATTCGAATCATCTTAAGAATAGATTGTTATGTAAAGCATAGATATTGCTTATGATTTTTATTTTTTTCCATATGTTTGATTTTAAATTTGGAGCAAATTGGTTGAATTGTGCAAAAAATGTAAGTTTTAATGCCTTTTGCGCGTAATACGACTCTATGTTTCTGCAGTGCGTGTATACTCATTAACTCGTGTACTTTTATGAAATCAACAAAACACATTTGGCAGATTTTGTCACGAAAACCAACGGAAGTGAGAGGCATTTGCTACATCGCGAAAATCTTCAAATTTATTGACCATATATATATAACAAGCGATGCAAGTTTATATCACTAATAAACGGTTTGCTCATTTTGCTGGTTGATATTTCTATACTTCTAAAATGACTCAAATATTTGAACAATTCAACATTAGCTGTAAAATTACTCTTTCAAAGTAAATTCGCTTTGTGAGGCAAATATATCATTGAATCATATCACAGAGTTCGAGAAATGACACATATTGCACAATTATACAATACTTCTTCAAGTAATCTATAATAAATATATTACTGGCATTATAGCAAGATTATAATTAATTCAAAATGTATAAAAAGCTCAATAGATCGCAAACAATTTACATTTATGGACTGATTTGTACATCGTAAACACACATAATGATTCAGTTTATTTCGTCTCACAAACCTTTTACTGGTTGACGGTTTAAGTCTTCGGGTTTTCACATTTCACGTTCTTGGCAAATTAAGCACTGTATGTATACCTTTTGAGTCGATACGTGGCATATTATTTTGTGTCACGGAAATTAAATCATCTTAAGAATAGATTGTTATGCTAAGCAAAGATACGGCATATGATTTTTATTGTTTTGGTTTATGCCATAGATGACCATAACTTTGAGCAATATTATCAATAGCAAAAAATGTTTATTATAACGCATTATCATAGATTACTTTGGCCCCGTTTACACTATACCGAATTACTTCGTAGCAAGTTAAATTTCCTTTGTACTAAAAAAGCAGTGAATTTGTACAACGTCAGAAACATAATCAAATGGACCAAATTTATCAGCTTAATAAGCCTTTACTCCGTACAGTTACCCCTTAAAAGGAAATGAAGATGTCGTGATGAGCGAATCCGGTATAGTGTAAACGCAATATAATACAACTCACTTGACGTTATTTGCAGGCATATATATATATATATATATATATATATAATTATTATGGATAATATTCCTGGATAAAGAGCGTAATATTCTATATATTAGAGAGCGTAAGATAAAATGAACTAAAATAAAATGGACAATTGTTTGCTGTCGCTACTCAGAGTTTCACGGTAGGGCGATCTTGAGCAACTGAAGAATATTTTATTTGCTGACTATATACATCGACTAAAAGGTGTTAAGTTACATGACGGCATGCACAAACTCCATGAACCATACTCCAGCATTCATATCTTTAAAAGACCACAAACCAGACTTTGAAAACAACCCCAAATGCCGCCTCATCAACCCCGCAAAAAACCACCTCGGAAAAGTCCAATACATCCTAGACAACATCAACAACATAATGAAACGAACTAAAAACTAAACCAATGGCGCAACACAACAGATGCTATCACTTGGTTCAAATCCATCACCGAAAAACAAAGAAAATCATTCATATCATTCGACATAGTTGATTTTACCCATCGATCACAACTCTGGACAAAATGCCTAGCGTGGGCAAAACAATACACAACAATCACAGAAAAAGACCACACCATTATAAAACGCAAGAAAATCACTTCTTTCCACCGCAAATCATGGTCCAAACGCAACGCTATCAACACGTTTGATGTAACCATGGGCAGCTGATGGAGCGGAAGTTTGCGAGCTGTAGGGCTTTTCTTACTCGACCAACTACAGCAACGGTACGAGCAAACGTCGGCTTATACCGTGACGATGGCCTTTACAGTCATAAATACGAATCTGGAGACTCTGCGACAAAGAAGAAAACCCTCTCACACCTATTTGACGAGCTTGGACTAAAATCAACGCGATGACAAACCATGAACGCACAAACTTCCTTGACGTAACGACCTTAGCAACGACACCTACAAACCATATAGAAAACCAATGACGAGCCCCTCTACATTCACAGATCTTCCAACCACCCACCATCAGTATTACGCCAACTACCCACATCCATCAACAACCGAATTAACACACTCTCATCTGCAAAGACACCTTCGAAAATGCCGCACCAATTTACAACCAAGCTCTTAAACCAACTTCACCACCCAACTCACCTTTAATCCATCAAACATCAATGTAAACACCACAACAGAAACGTAACGTCACTTGGTTTAACCCACCATACAAAACGTAAAACTCACATCGCCCATGACTTCCTACAACTTATCGACAAACATTTCCACCAAATACTATACTCTCCAAGATATTCAACCGACACACAATACGCGTAAGCTACAGCTGCGGCGAAAACATGAAAACTTTCATAACCAGACACAAAGACTATTTTAAAAGACTTGAAGAAAGCCAGAACAAGAACAACCCACCAAAGAAATGTAACTGCAGACAGAAACATCTATGCCCGACAAATGGAATTGCCTGAAACCCAACGTGATTTACAAAGCCGACGTGACAACGACTGTCAACAACGAAACAAAACTTACATAGGTGTTACTGCATGCGCTTTAAGACACGATATCGAAACCACATTAAATCAATTACGAACATTAAATACCGTGAGACAGAACTTTCTAAATACACGTGGACGCTGAAAGAAAACAAACGTAACTACAACATTAAATGGGACTTCATCAAACAACTTCCACCTCGAACAAAACCAAAGAACCTGCCGTCTTTGCCTTGAAGAAAGGCTACTTAGAAAGGACGTAAAAGAACATTTTAAATAAACGTTCCGATATGTTTAGTGCATGCCGTCATGTAACTTAACACCTTTTAGTCGATGTATATAGTCAGCAAATAAAATATTATCTGTCAGTTGCCTGAAGATCGCCCTACGGCGTGAAACTCTGAGTAGCGACAGCAAACAATTGTCCATTTTATTTTAGTTCATTTTATATATATATATGTATATACTAAAATGGGTGTATGTTGATTATTAATTTTGGGGGGGAGGGCTCATACTTAAATATGCATGTTGTAATGAATACAAAACAATGGATTTTAAAAGAGCTTAAATTGGCTAATCACGAAAATTTGAACTCTAGCCTACGCAATTCTCAATATTCCGTACTCGCCCCTACAGGTATAAGTTGTTGTTCGATGAAACACGTATGAATTAGATGTTTCTAGTACAATTGAAATGCAAAGAAAAAAGTGGCTTTTCGTATATTTAAGAATTTTCTTGATAATCTACATTTGCAAGGTGTGTTCTGATTATATTCAGATGTGTCATTGAGTTTAAACATAGATGGTATAGGCACAGAATATAGAATATACAGGAGAGTCACTCGCATCGGAATATCTGATGTCCTAACGCATGTTGTGCCGCGCATATTGGCTGCCATAATCCAGCAATATATTTAGTGCTTTTCACTTGTGCCCAAACATTAAAATGACACAACGTCATTTCTTATATTAAAATATTTTTGATTTCCTTAATTTCGTAATAGCACGATTGAAATGATGCATTTAACGTAAACGACAATTTTTTTTAAATTTTTTATTGCAGATATGTTTCGCAAACTTATGCCATCTTCAGTGCGATATAATGAATGAATATTTGAATGGAGTCAATATATAAAGAAATATGATACAAGACGTGTGTATACTTTGCAGTGACGTCACGCACGCTTTAGCAATTGTTGCTGGTGGAGAATCTGGAGGACAAGTACATGTGCACACTTTATTGTTAATATGGCAAGTAACATAAAGTCAGCGCTTTCTAGGTAAAAAAAGTTTTTTTGCCTGAATATATAGAAAATATTCAGTGTAAGGATAGTAAAGCGCGTTACAACATGAAATTAGGACATTGCAATGGAGATGATCCGTACGAAATACCAAAAAATCAATGGCTCGACGATATCGATCTGTGGCCTGCTGTAAGCTACATTGATGTTGGCATGTATTTATTATTTTCGGTCAGTCTTTGCATGAAAGAGCAATTAAAAAACCATAAGAGTCTTAATACTTATCAAAACTTTGTGAACGGAGGGGTGCGTGAAGTGTTGGTGAAAAAATATGACGATCACTGCTTGCTTATTGCTAAGGTAAATGCTTCTCAGTTGTCACTAAAAACATTGCACATTGGCTGCACTCGTGCACTAATGAGACTGAACGCCTTGTTTCTTTTTTCACTACACCAGGTTAATCACTCTCAAAGAATTTCGGAGAAGCCACTTACTCCTTGGGTTGTTTGCGAAAAGAACGGCAAAGTATTAACAGCGCACTGCGATGGTATGACAGAAATAGGTGAAAGCTGCTCTCACGTCGTTTCACTTCTGTGGGCTGTTGAAGCTGGTGCACGAAAACGAGATTCTTAATCTGTGACTGAAACGAAGGCATGCTGGATCCTTCCAAGTGCTGTCAAGGCTGTGCCATACGCTAAAGTAAAGAATATCAAATTTAGTAAATTTAATAAGAAATGCGAAGGCAAAGAACAAAGAAATCTAGTTTCTGCCCATCATCGTCTGAATTGGATAAATATTTTAAAACTACTAGTTCTTCCTCATCAAAACCAGCAATACTTTGTTTAATATATCCATATTCTGATTGTTATGTACATAAAGCCTTGCACTCTGACTTGCTACCAGTCATGAGTTATCTTCATGATCCAACACTATTGACAAATCACTTGAAACTCTGCTGGAATTATCAATGTGGAAACTGGACTGCTTTAATGTTGCAGTTGAACAGCAAAAAGCTGTACAAGAAAAAAACAGAGATGAAGCAAATTGTCCTCTTTGGCTCCAATTTCGTGCTGGAAGAGTGACTGCTTCAAGGTTCAAAGCAGCTTGTTGCACCAACAGAGATTCACCTTCCAGGAGTCTTATCACAAGCATTCGCTATCCAGAGCTGAAGAAATTTTCAACTGCATCAACAAGATGGGGTTGCCATCATGAAGAGATGGGAAGAGACGACTATCGAAAATGCTTAAACACAAACCATGAAAATGTTTCAGTAACAAACAGTGGATTCTGGATTCATTTGACAAATGGATTTGTTGGTGCTTCTCCAGATGTACTTGTCTTTTGCCAATGTTGTGGCACTGGGATTTGTAAAATAAAGGTTTGTTATTCATTGTGCCTATGTTTCATGGGGAACATCACCTATTGATTTTGTTTTGATAGTGTCCATTTTTCCATAAAGATGAGACAATTGAAACTTCAACAGATGACAGGTTGTTTTGCATTGAAGTAAAAAGTGATGGCAAAAAACAACTTAAAAGAACTAATGCATATTACTATCAAGTAAGTACATTTGTAAATTATTCGAATTTCATTTAGCAAGCTTAATGTATAGCTATTCACTTTCTTAAGTTATTGCTCAGTTTTCATGCACTGGTTTGAGCTAATGTGATTTCCTTTTGAGGACAGGAAAAGACTTGTTTTCATAAATTCGCTTAAAGTGCTTATATTACGAATTTTAGCCCCCCCCCCCTTTTTATGAGCTTAATTGAAAATTTGGATTATTTGAAGAACTATGACATGTCGCTGGATTTAAACAGATAAATATAAGTTTCTTAATTTTGCCTCCAAACTCGGGTACTATTTGCGAATTTTTTACGACGCCATATTGATACTTGTGACGTAGATAGTTGAACATGTCTGTTT